CTCACTGTTATCAGACGCCACGTTGTGGTAGAACATCAGACAAACTCACAAATTTACCACAAAAATGTGTGGCAAAAAAGAATAGTTTATATATATGTATATATATAAATTTCTATATTTATGCCAATGTACTCACTCAGTACAAATAGCAAAATAGTATACCATTTCCTAAATACAAAATATAGCTTTCCAAAAAAATGAAACACACATTTGATATAAACCATCCAAAACTTGAACGATTGAAAACTGTATTCAAAATTAAATGACCCAGAGTAGGTCTCTTTCTGAAAAGTTCCCTTCATATCGGCAAGAAGCCTGTACTACTGAAAACGTAATTTAATGCCTCTCAATCAGAGAGAGAAAGAAAGGTTGGGGTTGGAGGGAAGAATATATGAGAACAAAGAAAAAACAAATTAGGAGAAGAGCACATTCAAAGAACCAAGGAAGATCATCACAAAGAGGGAGAAAAAATCTGGCTGTATAAACAAAACCAAGACCACAATTCCACTAAGTTCAACTAAATGCATAGGATAGAAAAAAATAAAACAACAGAAAAGTAGCCTTCAACAATTAACAGGCTATTTTTGGTACACTTAAAAAATAAATGAAACTGACAAGAAGGCCGAAACATCTTATCTACATATAGAAGCCACACACAATTTGGCCTTAAACTGTATTACCAGCTTTCTACAGGCCAAAAGAAAAATAAGACAAAGCATGTGTCCAGACAACAGGTTGTAGTGAGAAGCAGGCATCCCATGGGTGATGAGAACACCCAAAACTGTATAACTAACACTACAACTGCAAGTTCTGGAGTGTGTTATTTTGCTCTCTATAGATGTAACACAAGTTAATTCTTCATTTTAAGTCAATGACATGACCCTGTAAAGCCTAAGGTTTGTGGGAACCATCAGATAAGTGACCACTTCAAACTATAAAGCACTGAGGTGACAAGTGAATTACACTCTCTGCAGCTCAGGGAGAAGTGATATTCCAAGAAATTTTACTTTGCCTTTTTAAAATTAAAATTTACACTGTTTCCTATTAGAGGGAAAATTTTGAAGACTTCACAACAGCACCGTTCATGGGGAAAAATGCATTGTTTCTTGTTTCTCAGGAATCAGCTCTCCCCATTCCTAAAAAGGTACTCCCAGCCCCACCTGTGCTGCAGGACTTGCTGGGTTACCCCAGATCAAAGTGGCCTTTTCCTTTAAGATGCTACAGGGTCACAAAGCTAGGAATATATTACCAACTATCTAAAATAAAGTGAAAAAGAGGGGAATAATATAGACGAATATAAAAAGGGAACAACCAGTCCAAGCTTGGGTTAAGAAGAAAACAGACTTAAATTGCTGTGTCAGTTTAAACTGCTACCGGAAGATATCAGAACATAATTTACCATAATATTATCCCTTTCATTTTTTATAGAGCAAGATAATTATTTTTCTATGCAGTTATGGCTGAACCCCTCACCAGAAATGCAGAGAATTAACAACAATCTGAAAAATAAAATCAATAGCATTCCAGCTGTTTCCAGTTGTGTGTTGTCTGCCTTTGTGATAAAGAAGCTTCTTATCTGTGTAGAGCTCTTAATACAGCTTACTTGTCAGAATGTTACCTCTCCAGTTTTTCTATAAAAACTGAAAAAAGACTCCTTCACTTTGGCCAATAGCTGTTTTTTTTTATATTGAAAATCACAGCCTTAGTTATTTGAATTTTCCTTTTTCAGAAGTTGTTATCTGACTAAAACAATGCAGGGAAGAAAATAATGAAGAACAAAAGTAAACATGACAATATGAATTATTTTCTAATAGCAATAATAACTGAGCAATACAGCTTTTAAGTTTAAACTGTACTTTTGAAGAAATAGTGTCTAGGAAAATAGCAACAATTAATTCTGTCAGCTGGAAACTCAAATAGATTCTCAGTCATCATTGTTATTAGGAATATAAAATATGAACATGTTAACAATGGTGGCTAATCACTGCAACAGGCAGCAAGGGTGAAATCTATCCGTTTACTCAATCACAGTTTTTCATATTTCGTTTTGTTTTTAAAGTAACAGTTCATTAATCTTCATGGAATCACAATATCTCAGGAAATCTTGGAATCAGGATTTTCTTCATGGAATTTCTAAAAAAAGAAGACATTTAATATAACTCACTAGAGAGGGAAAGCATTTATAAAGTTCCTGTTACCCCGAATGATCCCAAAGTATATTACAGTACTACTTTATCATATTTAGACTTCCACAGAGTTTTCTGACTCAATATTTCTTGAGGAAAAGAGAAATGAGACATTATTATATCTAATATATAATACATACATCAAATTTTCTGTCATTCCAAGGCAAAGAAGTTTAGAGCTAGAAGGATTGCCCAGTATTAACAATACGATCACAAGGTATCACTCATCGAGTAACTTATTCAGAGTAAAAAAGTGCCATCTTGAGAACACCACATTTTAAAAAATTAGTGTCTAAACAGTGCTATTACTTAACCCAAATCTGCTGAGAATAAAATTCATTGATGCTTTTTAATAAGAAAGAAGCCAAAATGCAATACTTACATACCAGTTAAAAGGAGCCAGTCATGTTGTTCCCTTGGTTTTGCAATGAAACAAGCAAATCAATCTTTTCAATGTTCTGATTGGTGTTTATAGAGGATGCCAGTGGAGAATTCTCTGGCATTTGCTGAGAAAGAAGTGTTGTCACAGGTGGCTGGCCCTCATTTTGTGGTTGGCCTGGTTGACTTATAGCCATCAACTGATCTGGCAATGCAGCTGGTCCAGACGTTAAAAGCTGATTACAGTCTGCAGAGACATTTAAAATAGAGAAGCTACCTGATTAGTTACTTTCTGTTAAGATTCATAAGAAGATATGAATTAGTTGCTGGGGTTAAGTCATTATTGTGTTCACTAAGCACAGAACTAAAGTTGAGGCCCCTGACAGCCCCACAAAAAGGTTTTACTGAAAAGTACCGATATTCATCTTTGGTTTCCTCTAAGTGATATACAAACACAACTTTATCTAGTTATCATCCTAAGTTCTATATAATTTCCTTGGTACATTAACATTAAAGGTGGGTTCTTACCTCCCTGGAAACTACTTAATTTAATTCGCTCAGATTTTCTGTCATTCATTTTCCTTTCAAGTTCATAGGTGAAAGCGGCAAGCACATATGTTTCTCCACACTCTCGCATTTAATCCTCCCATAGCCTTGCCGAGTACTCAATACTACCACCACCCTAGATGCACAAACTGAAGCTCACACCAGTCAAATCACTTGTCTAGCATCTCAGTCTATGCACGGGAGAGCTGGGACTTGAACTCAGTTCCGCCAAACTGCAATCTGTGTTCTTAAAACCACTGTGCTTTGCTTCCTTCTAATAATAACAGTACTCTGACCATTTAAACCAATAACATTTAAGAAATGAGAAATAAGAAAGTGTTTCTTACTATTTTGAATGCCAAATAAGAACATTCCTGAAGTCTGCTGAGATGAACCAGGAGAATTTTGTAGTTGGTTCATTGTGCCTCCTGTAGTGTTGTGAAATAAAGTAGCTTGTGGCTGAGGTGAAGCTGTGGCTCCTTGGATTCCAGGCATGTTGTTCTGAGGGGAATAAAGAGGAGACTGTTGCATGTCTTGTTGGTTTATACTGGTCTGCAATGCAGACATGGATGCTGGAGAGAGGAAGAGAGTTACTTGCTGCTCTTGAGAACTGGGTGACCCCTGGACCAACTGAATCTGAGGAGAGCTATGGAACAAAGAAGTCTGTGATGATTCAGACTGGGTAGGACCTGGGTTCTGAAGTGAGGAAACTGTGGGCTGGTTCTGAAATTGCATGGGCTGCTGCTCCTGATTCATTGGGGCCATATTATTTTGTTGGTGAAAAATTGACTGGTTCTGTTGCTCCTGATTAGCCATTGGATTCTGACTTGGGTTGAATATCATGTTTGGTGGTGGTTGCTTCTGAGATGCCATTGTAGCCATGGTATTTTGGTTACTGAATAAAATGCTCTGCTGTTGCTGCTGCTGCTGTTGCTGCTGTTGCTGCTGTTGCTGCTGCTGCTGCTCCTGGGATGGAGAGTTACTCTGGATGGCAACTATTGAGTGCTGTGACTGGAAGATTGTCCCTTGTTGGTTTTGAGGCATTGGGTTAGGAGGAAGGGAGCCCAGGGACACCTGAGGCTGAAACAGACCTTGCTGGGAGGGTTGTGCCTGTTCTTGGGAAAGCATAGGGGTCTGAATGTGTGATATTGGAGGCTGCTGTTGGAAAGCAGCTTGCTGCTCAGTGTTTGACGTTGATTGAAGTGGAGAAATTGAGTTCTGAGCTGCAAAAAATGAAATCTGTTCTTCTTGGGCCACTGCGTTAGTTTGAAGATTATTCATTGGACTCTGGGAAAGAAATATGTTGGCTGACTGCTGGTCTTGAGGAACATTAGAGCCCTGCAACACAGCCATAGTACTTTGAGAGTGAAACATTGGAGGCTGCATCTGATCAGTGGAGGATGTAGAAGTTTGACTATGGACAATAGGACTTGGACTGTGAAAAATAGAACCTTGGGTTTCCTGGGAAAGGTTCTGAGCATCAGCAATAGGATTTTGAGGATGAAAAAGTTGAGCCTGTGAATGAGAAGGCTGCTGCAAAAAATTCCCAGATTGGAGTGACATCATCTCATTACTCTGCTGGAATAAACCATTACCTTGTTGCTGGGCACCACTATTTTGAACACTCATCATACTTTTTGTAGATGAAAAAAGGTTAACTTGAGGTTGATTGTCCCCACTATGTTGCATTTGGACCATGGTCTGAAAGACACTGTTCTGAATCTGTTTTGCTTGTGTGCCCGTTTCTTCTCCATCTCCTGAACTTGACGTCTGAAACATGGTAGTGCCAGGGGTTGCAACCTGCTGTGTGGTGGTTGTAGTAGTTTCATTTCCAGAAACTGCAGGAGGAGAAGAAAACAATTCACACTGCATTTGCATGTCCTCATTGGTAGATAATGCACTCATCATATGAGGGGTCTGCTGGTAAACTGGAGACTGCTGAAGGTTTCCATTTGCTGAAGCAGTTGAAGGAAATAACTCCGACTGAATCTGGGCAGCCGCCTGGCAGATACTCTGTTGCATCTCCATCACCATTGCAGCTGATGATTCCATCACCTGCTGCTGCTGTTGCTGCTGCTGTTGATTAGATAATGTGTTTTCAGTCTGTGGGTGAACACTTTCAGCTCTTCCAGCTATTAAGTTATCTGGTCTGGTATGGACTGCTGGCTCTGTTGAGGAAAATATTCCAGGGCTTACACTATTTTGAATCTGACTGACTTGTTGAAAAATGTCTGCACTAAGCTGTTCTTGAACATTCTCATTACCATCTGGAGTAGAAAATAAAACTGAAGATAACTGTTGTTGTGCCTCTAAAACTTGTTGGACCAAGTCAACACTTCCACTGCTGCCACTAGCAGTACTGCCGGTAAAACTTCCTGCTTGCAACTGCTGAATCGTGTTCTGTAGCTGACTCACACTGCTTGGTGATGGGAAAATACTTGATGAAATCTGCTGCTGTAAAGTCTGTGCTTGTTCTTGTAGTGGTGACTGCTGCTGTTGCTGTGATGCCTCAGTCAGGTGTGACAAATTAACCACAGTACCATCTGACTGCAATACCTCTCTAGATTGAGTTTCTCTTGTCTGAAACTGTGTAGCCTGCTGCAGTAGTGCATCACTGTTAGGCAGCTGACTAGAAGCAGAAACAGCTGGAAAGGTACCAGGCTGTGAAATGTCCTGTGTTTGGATAGTTGTCAGGGTCTCTGGGTTGTATGCTTTGGGCTGAATCTGCTGCTGCTTTTCATTTTCAGAGGGTAAGTGAGAAGATGACGATGATGAAAAAGACCCATTTCCTGCTATGTTAGAGATATTTTCTAATGTCTGTTGAGTTGATCCAACTGTCTTTGTAGTCTAAAAAATAAAAATACCCAAATAATATGTATAAATAAACATTAAATGAGCTCATATGATACTTCAAAAATTAATATTATTCTAAAAACATATACATATGCAGGACCTATTTTCCACTCTATATTATTATTATTTGGAAAACAGATATAAGACTGTTCCTTGGTGATAACATGTCTGATTGTCTAAAGAATATTTTTAAAATATGTATTATAAGCAAAGATAGGCAAACAAGGAAGTAAAATAATCAGCTATTGACATGCTTATGACAGTAAGAACATTAATTCTACGGTTCATGAATTAATAGCAAGTGAAAAAAAAAATCTCCATTTTGCAGTTTCCTGGTAACATTATAAGAGGAAAACAAGCGAAAAAGGGAAAGGGAATTACAGAAAAAGAGTGGGAAAGAAAAAGAAATAAAAATATCTCTAATTTTGAAAATGCTAACCCAGTACTTTCATTTATACTCTCGATCCCACAGGTCTAGCTAATATATTAATTCCTTCCTTGTCAAAAGTGGATACTGGAAAATACTTTAAAGGCAGGCTATTTTATTGGAGTATAAAAGCGTTTACTCTGAAAAGCAAAATTCATCAAGTGCATCCAAAGAGAAACAAATGTGAAAGAGAAAAAGTAAAAAGCATAAACATGGGGGAAAGAAATCAAACCACTTAAAATATAAAAAGGAATTTTTATATTTAAGGTTAAGATGTTGGTCACTGGTCAATGTGGCTGGCTTACCTTAAAAATAGGAGATGATCTCTTTTCTGCTGTTACTTCCATCGGAGTAACATCTTCACTCTTAATCATACTGCTTGATATGAGTGGAGTGATCAAAGCATTAGGAAGAATATTTACTTTATCTAGGTTACATCCAGTAGTTTTCATTGCTGTGCACGCACACAGACACGAGAGAAAAAAGAAAAGTTTAAAATCACTGAAGTCATCAACTATTTCATTCTATAGTGTGATGACTATTAACCATGATTTAAAAAGTCTATTTTTTTATGCTATGTAGCAGGAGATACAAAACTGGTATATTGAAATGTGCCCTCTTTTTTGAAGTAGCATTGGCTTGTGGACTCCTGGGTCTGCGGGTTAAATATCAACCTGCTTAAGCAGCTCCAATATCAAGCTGTATCTCCCAGGACTCTTCTAAGGGGCCTTGAATTATACTTCTCAACACAATCAGGAAATATTATAGGATACAACTTGGAAATCTCCATGAAGTTAAAGATACTCAATTACAACTGCTACACTCTCCTTTTAGTACATGGCTACCTTGCAGTATAAAGTCAAAACTTTTTAAAGACCACAGGATTGTCTGAAAATTTCTCTCAACAAATCTCAAGCTTCTCATTAGAAAATGCCACCAAGTAACCAAATAAATTTGGCTTTTCTAAAGTAATGTCTTAGAAAACTTGAATTTGCCAAGTTGACACATGAACACATTTCCTTTTTAGACAGGACTTAAAATAATCCCATTTTCAGAAGAGATTTACACCAAGGAGAAGCAATATATAGCAGATGAGGTATGTTTTATCACTTCATTATATCTACTTTTTCCCCTTCATTCTTTTTCTTTTTACTACTTGAGTCAGCCATTTGGCAGACTTAGGAACACCTACTGATATCACTAATGACAGCCTTCTGAATTGAACACATGCCCAAATCCTTATTTAAAAGATTACCACTACTTTGAGACCCTGTGGAGAGAAATACAGATTCCACAGAATATGTAGCTGTTAAATTTCTTACTTTGATATTAAGAAGAAATCTTGGCTACAAAGAGGAATTTTAAATGGTATATGGTATATGAGTAAGACTGCTACCTTTGTAAATATTCTGATTTAGAAATATTTCAAACTTTCTGGTCTTACTTCAACGTGTCTGACAGTCAATTGGCTGGAAATAATTCCTGTGGGAACTGATTATGTTGAGGAAGGAGGAAGTGCTCTTAAATTTACTTTGGACATTCTACCCTTTATTATTCTCAGAAATGTTTCATTTATTCATGGGTCCTCTGGACCTATTTGCACCTAGTTCTACCAATAGCAACACAATTCAGCTCAAAATCTAATTTTTACTGAGAGAAAACATCAGGCATTTAAAAGTATATGTGACCCATCTCACAGGACAATTTGAAAGACTATTAGTGTTGTTTTAAGTTGATGTGGTGATATTCAACTGTTATTCCTGCTTTTGAATTCTATTACAATGTGAGTTCCATGAAGGCAGCGATTTTGTTCTTATTGCCTGGTATATAGTAAGCAATTAATGAATATTTGTTGGCTGAATGTAGTTGAGCCAGATAATCCTGGCAGTTTACTCATCAGTGCTTAATTTCCCACTAATCTACTCTGGAGAGTGTTCACGGTCAGAAATTATAACGGCAAGCTATACTGAACACATTATATACATGAATGCTAAATTTTACTTCTGACAATAGAAAAAAATCCATCGTATTTGATAAAATTTATTAAGCATATTATTCCCTTTAAAAATGTAAGTATTTTTAATTTTATAATTTAATTTGATTTAAATAATGAATTTCATGGTAGAAAAATATAAGTAAAAGCTAGAATTATAGGAATAAATCAATGGCCATTATATAAATGACATCTTCATTTATAATGGCACAAAAGTATCATCAAGTATCATAGCTGTATTAGAAATCTGCTAAGAAAAGTATCTACCACATAACATCTTGATGATATCTTCATTACCTCTTCGGATTGGCAGGGGAGTAAATAAAGATGCCAGAAGAAAGAACCTAAAGCAACTTTTTCAAATGCTGATAGTTCATATTTTGGTCTCTTCAGTCTCAATGTCAAGTACTAATCTTATTCATAGCCAAAAGTTTCATTGACTCTATTTTTGACATACATTATTGTACTTTAGATATACTTTTAAGATTTTTAATATTGGAGAATGGAAAACAAAACAAAAAATTCCTCCACTCCAACATGTTTTAAAAAAAGTTGTTTATATGGTGAATGAAGGGAAATATCAAGTTGGGAAACAAGTCTCTGCATTCAGTAAAAAACAAATATTTGTTTTACAGTATGGAAGACACCCTGCTAAGTGTTCCAAGTACATAAGAGAATACAAAATAATAAAGTTTGCTAGAGAAAATACATAGGATCACCTATTTACAATTTTTGAGAATCAACTTAGTACCTTTCATGGCCTCTTCAAAAGAGCAAGGTCTTGCCGGACTAGATATTTCCTTCTTCACATTTACATTCAAAGCACCAGCTGCTATTAAAAAAAAAAAAAAAAAAAAAGATTAATGCTCTAACCCCAACTGAGCTATCCAACCAGGGCAGATCTTCTAAACTTTTAACATTTCAATTGCTCTTACTGCTCTGGTTTTTAAAGCATCTATTTTACCTAAATGCTTAAAATCATATTTAAAGTATTTATTCACCAGCAGTCTTTGATATTTTTAATTACACAGATTAGAAAATGTTACAGGCATATAACTCTATTTGTGATTTTTATCACTTATCACTTCAAGCATCTCTTTCACCTCCCCAAAATGCGTCCTGCAAGCCAGCTAGACTAAACTATTAGCAGTTTTCTGAAGTTGTCACTTTCACTTTTCTGCACATTAGAGGTACTCAATGAATGGTAATTCTTACTGAAGAGTAAGCTGTATGATAACTCTGGAGAGTCTGACTTCAGAGCATTCCTAGCTTTTCATTTATTATTAGAGCACAAGGCAGAAATGATACCCTTAAACATAAGAGTAAAAGCAGTATTTGGTTGCCATCTTCTTAGGAAATAATAATATCTTCAAAAAATACTAATATATAACTGGTTTTTGTTGTGGTTTTTTGTTTTTTTGGCTGGCTGGTGTTCATATCCTTCCAAAGTATTAGAAATTAATCATTCATTTTAGTTCAAAATTTTTTATTTTGACATACCTGGGTCTGGAGTGTAAGTGAATGGCTGAACTTCATGAGATCTTCCAGCATTGGTCACTACATATATTCCCACTGACACTGGCAAAGTTATATGTTGGTCATGATACGGGGGAACCTTCACAATAAGATGATTCTAATTGAAAGAAAATTACAAGAGTCAGAAAAGAAGCAATACTTAAATCAAAATTTTGAGATAAAAAATTATAATTAAGTACATTTCCTATTAGCTAGCTATAAAGTTCAAAAATCTGACTAGAAAAAAATGTATTTTAAAGCTCAGGTTCAAAGGTATCAGGATATTAACCTTAAAATTGCTTTTAAGATAAAATCCAAATGCTTTACAATGATTCACAAGGTTCCTGCCCTGAGAACTTTATCTCATTCCTATTCTCCCCAGATAGTTTATACTCTAGCCATACTGACCTTCTCAGTCCATTCTCTTAACACACTAAATTCATTTATACCTCAGAGCATTTACAATTCACTGTTCTCTCCCACTAGAATATTCTTCCTTCACCACATCAAATGGCTAGTTCTTTACCTATTTTCAGGTGTTATTTAAATGTTACCTACTCAGAGAAGCCTTCTCTGACCATCTGTCCTAATCATACAATCTTGTTTATTTCTAAAACAGCATTTATCACTAACTGAAATTACTGTGATTATTTGCTTAGTTTTTTGTCTCTCTCCAGACTCAAGAATGTAAGTTCCAAAGAACATAGGATGTTTTGTTCTTCATCTATCCTGTTAAGCACCTTACACAAAATACACACAACTATATTTATTGAATAAAAGAATGAATACATTTTGAGGGAAAAATATGCCCACCAAGCACAGTATCAGTTACCATACATTCTGTACAATCTTAATTGAGATGTATTTCACAAGTCAGTTCACTGCTTCCTAATCACTTAGCCAAATAGGGTTCAGTTTAGCCAAGTTTACTCTCATTTAGGAAAACAGGGTTGAGTTTACCAAAACCTGGAAATCAAAGTTGTTGTTTTTTGTTTTGTTTTGTTTTCAGAACAGTGGCAGAAGCATCTGTATAAGAAAAGGAAAGAGTTCATAAATGCTTCATCAGCAATTGCTCAAGGGTGCTCCACCTTCTTGGAAGATGCTGTGAACCACATTAGACTTACTCTCTCCTTCCCTGGTACAGTATAGTCATGGGAAGGAACACCAAGGGATGGTGATTATGCTTTTGTACTGAGGATGTGATATGTAGGAGGCAAATGATGACAGTTGAGGGTGAAGTGAATTTGATGACATTTTTTACTGAGATTATAATCAGCTGACTCAGTTGAAAAGAACATGTGACAGATAAGGCCAAGGTCAAGGTTTCAATTTCTAAGCACTTATTTTGTGTCTAAGATTTTTCTTAAAACACAAAGAAATAAAAATTAATTGAACACAAAGGAGTTACAAACTTTTTTGATAAACTGAATACAGATTCTTAATTTTTTGCCTCTTCTATCTCTCTGCTTGTTTTCATGTGCTCTTTTCTATTCCTATCAGCATTTCATGCTATATTTTAGGCTTTGGGTATTTTATACATTAGTATGTTCCCACTTCCCTGTTCTCTCTGATCTCTACCTAAACATACCACTGTTCTGCGTGTCTTCTATCTGATTTGCATATAAATGTGTCCTTCTCTTCAGCTTGTCTCAATATCTTAGTTTGCTATTTGCTCTACATACTAATTCTTAAGTCATTTCTTTATTCTTGTTTTTAAGCTCTTTTTCCTTGTTATCTAAAAACAATACATAGTGAGTGCCTACAAATACATACTCTTAAATACAAGTGTAACAAATTATACTTCTGAATGCAAACAGGTAACTAACAAACATAAAAACACCTGGCACATAGTAGGTACTCAATAAATATGATTTGCTTTGCTTTGGGTTAAGATAACCCAAATCCCCAGAGCAAATAAATATTAGGAAAGAAATGTTTTATTTATTAGCAATGGCAATTTGCTGATGCTCTTAAACTTTTTTTTCCATTTTTAAAATATGTTTTTATTGATTTTAAAGAGAGAGGAAGGGAGAGGGATACAGAGATAGAAACACTAATGAAAGAGAAACATCTATCAACTGCCTCCTGCAAGCTCGCTACTGAGGATCAAGCCTGCAACTCAGGCACGTGTCCTGACCAAGAATCTAACCTTTACTTCGTAGTTCGTAGGTCGACCCTCAACCACTTAGGCACACTGGCCGGGCTTTAGCCATATTCTTGAATTCCTTTTATGTTTTTTTTGTTTTGTTTTGTTTTTTATTGTTCAAAATACTACAGATGTCCCTTTTTTTCCCCATTGACCTACTCCCCTCCCCAGGCCTTCCCCACATTATTGTCTGTGTCCATGGGTTGTGCTTATATGCATTTAAATTCTTTGGTTAATCTCTCCCCACCCACCTACCCTCCCCTACCTTCCCACTGAGATTCCTTAGTCTGATCCATGCTTCCATGTCACTGAATCTATTTTGTTCATCAGTTTATTAAGTTCTTTACATTTCACATATAAGTGAGGTCATGTGATGTTTGTCTTTCTCTGCCTGGCTTATTGTGCTTAGCATAACATTTTCCAGGTCCATCCACGCTGTCCCAAAGGGTAAAAGATCCTTCTTCTTTACAAATGCATAGTATTCCATGGTGTAAATATCCCACAGCTTTTTTATCCACTCATCTACTGATGGGCACTTGGGCTATTTCCAGATCTTAGCTATTGTAAATTGCGCTGCTATGAACAGAATATAGGGGTGCATATATTCTTTCTGATTAATGTTTCAGGATCTTAAACTTTTTAAAATAAAGAATTGTCACTTCTAGTAGCAGTGGCATAGTCCTAGCTCAGCTAAAGAAACTCAATAAAGAAACTTTAAATGATTTACATCAATCTCATATAAAGAAAAAATTTGATCTGTTGATTCAGGCAATTTCAGAACAAAGCCAAATTTCTCAGAGAGTAAACAATTAAACTATAAAAAGTCTTAAATTATACCTGATGAAATAATTCCATGTCGATTTCAGCTTCTGACTTCCAAGAGTTTTCATCTGATTGAAATAAAAACAATGGCTTACTAAAATTTTGAAAATTTTTTTACTTTATAGTTTTACAACAAAGTGAAATATGCAACAGTTTCTATACCAGTAGTATTATGTCTACTTACCAGAAACATTTTCTTGGAAAATCACTTTAGTTCCTTTCAGAAAGTTCTTGCCGATTAAAAATACTTCTTCCTCTCCTTTCACTGAACAGCTATGCAAGCTTTTCTTTAAGATTTCTGGCACTCCTGCTGGTTGAGCTGTGGATATACATAAGCATTCCATAAAAAGAACCACCAACACATTTCTTATCTAAAATCAACCCTCAATTATCCAGTTCTATAATAAGTTGTCTTTGTTGATCTCTAAATTGACTTCCTTTATTCTAAACTTTTACCCAAACAGAGAACAGAAAAAATAGAGAAGTCCATACTAATTTTTACTTACTCTTGTAAGATTATATAGGAATGGATTAATATCTACGATTTTAGGTTTTCCTTTATCATATGTCATCTTTGTTTTCTCATTACAGGAATAAAAAAGTTTTAAAATGTGAACTTGGCCATGTTTTTGTCTTAATAATATTTTTTAGGACTGTAAAAACATGCTTGTCCCACAATTCTATCCTTAAAAATGTCAACTATGTTATGCCATTATGAGATTTCTGAGGCAATGAGTGTCTCTGGATGGTAGCGAGGCTTCTTTAAGGATCCAGATCCAGGAGTCAGAGGATCCACATCAAAAGAGTACCTGAACATAGACTGCATCCAATTCAGAATAATTCTACCAGAGAAATTTCCATGAACTGGATGGGGTATGCTGAGATTAAAAAAGAAACCACACTTGATTTTCTATTGCAAAGACTGACAAACCACTACTAAAATTAACAAAGATGTCGACAAGCACTGAAGATCCAGCTATAGTAATGAATAAATTTTAATCAGCTTACCAACTTCCTCATCCCAGGATTTCCTTACAAAAATTTATTAGGTATTGCTTAGCAAATCAGGGTCCAAAGTCAAGGAAATCAGGGAAATACTCTGTTAAGCAAAACTAAATGAACAAAAGGATTTCTCCAAGCATTTCATATTCTGATGTACACTAAATATCCAAGAAGCGGGTATAGTATGACTCCAGAAACATTCTTCCTTATTGACACCTAACGATTAGTTTTCTACCAGAATACTTTCTGGGATACTGGTGTATGTAAATAAATACATTTTAAGTGCTCAAAAAACTGTTTCCCTTAAAGTTAAGCACTTTGATATAGTTACACTCGTCTTTTAAATTAAATTTATTGGGGTGACATTGGTTAATGAAATTACACTATTTGTTGTTTTAGTAAACCTTCACAACATATATACTGCAAACATATATGTCATCAACTTATAATTTAATGAGATATTCCACTAAACTTTAGGAAAAGTTTAAGTTTTTTTCTCCTTAGATACTTATATATTTAATAGTTCATTTTATCTTTACAAGAATGTAATGTGGGAAACTGTTAATGTGAAAACATTCACTGCTCCTCTTTCCCTAGTGGAAAGGCTGTTAATTCTCACTCCACTCACATCAGGATCAGCCACGTGACTTTTGTGAATAATGAAATGAGAACTGAAGTAATGTGCCAGTTCCACTCAAAAGTTTTAAGGGCCTCAGATGGTTTGACCATCTCCTTTTTCCTCCACTACAAAAATGGCAATATCCCAGATAAGGGAAGCTTCTTCAGCCCGGATCCCAGAATGCAGCCAATATCATAAAGTGAGGGAGAAGAAAAACTTTGTTGTTTTAAGCCATTGATGTTTTTTTTTGGTTGCTTGTTACTGCAGCATCCTTTAGCTTTTCAGTTTTTAAGTTTGTATCACTTATTGATACAAACAAGTATCCTATCCTTATTAAATATATAAATGGGAAATGACATTTTCAGCAATGTCTGAGAATTTTAAAAATTATGAATATATATTCATACGCACTGTCTAGAACCCACAGGGTTAATGTATGGAGAGAATGGAAATAGTTATTGGTCAGACACTGGCAATTACACACCCTTTTTAAATGAAAAATTAACTGAACTAATTTATAACTTTTTGGAGTAACTCTGGAACTAAATATGTGTTTTTAAGGGACATTAAAAATATGGTAAATATTATTTTTACTAGCAAACAATAAGAGGTGCAAAAGTATATAAATATATTGTATTAACAAAATGAATGGAAAGTCTATAACCTTTCCCCCCATTTTCAAATACTATGTGGAAATTCCACTTCACTGAATATTATAAAAAAATTTTTTTTTGTATCTCATTTTTTCCTTTTATGTATTAAAGGCCTAAGATGGCAAAACAAGGCACTTCTGAAAGTACAGTGTATATTTATCTCATATATATTTATATTTACATTACACAAGAAACTAGTCTGCTACTACTATTCAAGGTAATTTAACTTTAAATGTTTGACCTTAAAAAGCCTCTTTTCTCTTGCCTGGCCAGGTGTGGCTCAGTGGTTGAGCATCAACCTAGGATCCAGAAGATCGAAGTTTAATTCCTGGTCAGGGCACATGCCCGGGTAATGGGCTTGATCCCTGGTTGGAGGTGTGCAGGAGGCAGCCGGTCAAGAACAACTCTCTCATCACTGATCTTTCTCTCTCCCTCTCCCTTCCATTTTCTGAAGTCGATAAAGATATATTAAAAAAAAAAAAAGTCTTTTCTTTTAAAAAAGTTTAATATTTACCCAACAGGACAGACTTCATACCAAACAGAGCTAAAATCAGGATTATTTAAGCATTAACTGTTTTAGTTTTATCTTTAAGTAATTAGTAAGTTGACTCTTGGAAGTGATCGCACTACTTAAAAAATTGTAACATAAAAAAAGTAGCCACTTTTCTGGTATTATGAAAACTGTGTTTTTAAGATGCTTTCAAATTGTGGTCTAAAAAACAAAACTGAAAAAAGTAATGAATATCTGAATGCTGAAAAACAACAAAGCAAATATTTCAACCTGTCCAAAGAATTAGTAAAGCTTTTTAATAATGTCTGTGAAGAGAAGAAAAGTTTACTCAATGTATTTTTTTTCTTAAAGTTGTAAGATAGACAGACATAAGGGAAGCAGAAACTTATTATTAAATTCAGTCAGATTTACTACAATAAGCATTATAAGATAAAATCTAACATACATTATTGAAGAAAGCTATGATTAATTTAGCTGTATTAAAAAATAACTACAGTCTTTGGGCAAGGGAAACAAAGAAAGAAGTAAACAAATGGGACTATATCAAACTAAAAAGGTTTTGCATAGCCCTGGCTGGTATGGCTCAGTTGGTTGAGCATCTTCCATGCAACAAAAGGCGGATCATTTAATTCCTGGTCAAGGCATATATGCCTGTGTTTCGAGCTCAGTCCCCAGTAGCAGTGTACAGGAGGCAGCCAATCGATGTTTCTCTTTCTCCCTCTCCCTTCCTCTCTCTAAAATCAATAAAAACATATTTTTTTAAAAAGTGTTTGCACATCAAAGGAAATTGTCAACAAAACGAAAAGACAATCTACTGAATAGAAGAAGATATTTGCCAATGACACATCTGATAAGGGATTAATATCCAAAGTTTATAAAGAATTCATACAATTCAAAATAAAAAACAATCCAATTAAAAATCAGGCAGAGGACCTGAATAGACACTTCTCCAAAGAGGATATACCAATGGCCAAAAACACATGAAATAATGCTCAACATCACTAATCATCAGAAAAATGCAAATTAAAACCACAATGAGACATCACCTGTCAGAATGGCTGTTATTAATAAGTCAACAAACAAGTGTTGGGGAGGATGTGGGGAAAAGGGAACTCTTGTGCATTGTAGGTGAGAATGTAGATTTGTGCAGTCACCATGGAAAATAGTATGGAGTTACCTCAAAAATTTAAAAATAAAACTGGCTTATGACCCAGCAATTCCACTCCTGGGTATATATCTGAAGAAACCCAAAACACTAATTTAAAAGAATATATGCACCCCTAAGCTCATTGCAGCATTACTTACAATAGCCAAGTTATGGAAGCAACCCAAGTTCCCATCAACAGACAAGTGGATAAAAAAGTGGTGGTACATATATACAATGGAATATTACCCAGCCATAAAAAAGAAGGAAATCTTACCATTTGCAACAGCATCTAGAGGGTATTATGCTAAGAGAAATAAGTCAAAGAAAGACAAATACTATATGATTTCACTTGTAAAACCTAAAGAACAAAATAAATGAACAAACAAAACTGAAACAGACTCGTAGATACAGAGAATAGACTGATGGCTGCCAAAAGGGAGAGGGATTAGGGGACTCGGTGAAAAAGGTGAGGGGATTAAGAATTGCAAATTGAGAGCTACCGAATAGTCATGGGGATGTAAAGTACAACATAGGGAATATAGTCAATAATATTGAAATAAAAAAATAATAATAATAATATTGAAATAACTATGTATGGTGCCAGGTGGGTACTGGAAATATCAGGAGGAGCACTTTGTGAAGTGTATGATTGTTTGACCACTGTGCTGTATACCTGAAACTAATACAAAATAATACTGAATGTAAACTAATAAAAAAAGTAATAAAAAATTACTACAGGAGGGTGAATACCAAAAAAGTATGAAGATTCATATTCTTAGTTTGATAAAGTATGACTAAATAATATAAACAATATATCAAATAAAAAAACCATATATACGTTTATTGTCTGGACAAATCTAAAGATGTTAAGAATGTAAAGGGGATGGTTCTTCCATCCCTTTAAAGGCATACAAACAAAAGACAGACGATGGATCCAATGGCCACTGTTAAACCAACAGACAGAAGCAGAAGGTCACAAGGCACAACATGAATTCTGGCATTAGGCCTTTTTTTCCATTGAGTGTCTCTAGATGGAATATCAAGAATCTGTTTCCTCTCCTCCCTTCCACCTCCATCACCTTTTAGCCCCTTTTCCTTTTCTACCTCCCTCTCATCTTCCTGTTTCCTTCTACCTCCCATTCCAACTGTAACCCTTCTTATTAACCTATTTCCTTTTCACCTCTCATTCTACTCCAACTGCTCAAACTCGCCAAAATTGTTATATTTATGGAAATAAACACAAATCAGAAACCTTTAATGGAACAGATACTCTTATTTTTAATTTTAAAAAGATTTTGGGGGTCCTTTGTTTCACTATGTATTATTTATATGTTTACTTTTCCTCTCCCCTCATACACTCCACTCCAAAGTCTAAGTTCAAGCCTCA